ACGAAAATGTATGAATAAATTTAATATAATTTAATATAATATTTATTTAAAATATTTTAAAAATAGTTACATCCACAAATATCGAAAAAAATTGCTTAATGTTAGCTAAAAAAATGTTATTAATTTTTAGTTTTTAAACTTATTTTTGCCATTCAGAAAAAAAATATAAGCTAAATTTATGAAAAAATTAATGTCGAAACAGAAGAAAAAATAAATAAAAAATATTACAAAAATTAATTTATGCTCACAGACTTCAACAAAATCAGGAGAGAAGAGTTTTAAAACTTTTCTTTAAAATACACCGTTTCTTTTCGTTTTTTAGACAAAATAATCGAACTCAAAACTGTAATTCAGCAAAATTTCAAAAGTTTTAACAAAAAATTGCGAAAGTTTTTATAAAAAAATGGAAAAATAATCCAAAGACAAAACTTTGGGCTCAAAGGTATTAAAAAAAATTTGAACAGTCGATAAGATTTGCTGGCTTTTCAATTTGTTCACCCTTTTTAAGAAAAAGAAATCTAAATTTTTGTAAAAAATAAGAAAACAGGTTATTAAAAAAATTATGAAAAAATAGTTACACCTACAAATATCTGAAATGATGCCTAAAAATTTTATTTCTTCTTTAATTTCTTAAAATGGTTTTTGTCTTTCAGAAAAACTTTTTAAGCTTAATTTGAGTAAAATTTAATGCGGAAAAAATTAACAAAAAAACTATAATATAAAACATAAAAAACAAAAAACATGAATAAAAAGTATATTTATGCCCGCAGATATCTAATAAAGACAAGACAAAAAAATGTTAAAACTTTTCTCTAAAATCGTCTTTTGTGTTTGTTTTTTTTCAGAAAAAATAATTCCACTAAAAAATTTAATTTTTGTTTATTATTTTGCTATATAGGAAAAGCAACTGGGCTAATAGAACCAAAAATTCTGCGAAAGTTACTTGATAAAAAAACGTATAAAAAAGTGAATAGTTAAAGCAAAACCTATATATTTTATTTTTTTGCAGAAAAACGTATCGAGTTCACTGAAAATTTTTTTGGGAGATTGTAAAATTTTCAGAAATATTTTTCATGTGGTTTTGTTTTTTTTTGTTAGAAAAATGTGTTGAGCTCATTAGCATTATTGAGTTATTAAAAACTTCTGAAAAAAAAATGTATTTCTCCGCCGGCAGAAGCTTAAAAAAATTTTGATTTTGCAACATTCCGTCAAAGCTATTTAATAAACTCTTTTTCTGCCAATTATTCTAAGTAAATACGTTTGTGTCACTCCAACCGTCAACCACCGCTCAGATATTTATTCAAAAGGCGCACATCGCCTTGCTACCATGCACCGCGCTACGTGACTATAATTAAATTTTCCGTTGAAATTATGGTAGCTGTCGCATATTGCATATTTTTAGGCGGCATAGCAAGCTAGTTAGTGTGAGATAAAAGCCACATTGATTTACATACCTACATGGGAAGGCAACTGCATTCAAAGTGGCATGAAGCAATTGTATAAATATGTATGTACATATGTATAAATACATATCCTCAAGCATGTATATGTTAGCATACATATGTATATAGAATGTATATGCTTAAACATATATATATATATATAACGACCAAATGCATTTCGAAGGCCTTTCTCGCATAGCAATGGCATGCATCTCACTGAATGTATTTACATATGAGGCTCTGTGTATATCTAATTGATATGGATGTACTCTTGTTGTGCAATTTGTGGTCGCAGCATACATGGGAGGCAAAATGCATGCTTTCGTACAAACGTACAAGTATTTATGTTTATTTGGGCGTACATATGTATATGTATATTTAAAAACTAGTAGCTGTCACAGTAGCATCATAACCATTTTACTAGTATTTCGCTTAAGCTCTCTGTCCTTCAACCGCCAATGTACCACTTTCTTTTTTACCTAATAGTCCATTCTAATGTTTCATATTCATATCCATATTCATATTCATATTCATATTCATATTCATATTCATTTTCATATTCATATTCATATTCATATTCATTTTCATATTCATATTCATATTCATATTCATATTCATATTCAGATTCATATTCATATTCATATTCATTTTCATATTCATATTCATATTCATATTCATATTCATATTCATATTCATATTCATATTCATATTCATATTCATACTCATATTCATATTCATGTTCATATTCATATTCATATTCATATTCATATCCATATTCATATTACCTACTTTTGCGCCACATACTATACATATATGTATGTATTCATATATCAGCCATCCTAATAGTTACAAGAATTTTTATCCGCCACGCATTTATTTGCTTTTGACTTTGCCAGCTTTGGTGTGCTAAAAATTAAGCCGCCCACTGCTTGCCCCACGCAAATTTAGATATAAAATTTGCTCATATTTTGCACGAAATTTGATTAAATAGCGAATTTATATTGACCGTGGCTGATGACAGACCATCGACCGCTTCAGGCAATGGCCACAAGACATCAAAGTGACAGCACATAAATATTTATGTTATTAGCTGGCATATTTTTGTTGACTCTCAGGAAAACGCGCTAACACTGCCAAAAAAAAGGGCAGCTTTTATTGAATGTTCGAAAAATGAACAGAAAGAGTGTTTCAGTTAAGCCATGCAACTTAGAAGAATGTAAGTATTTATCAAAATCGTCGAAAAAATCAGTGAGAAATCAGAAAAGGCACCTAATAATGCAGAGAAGCTCCCCGGAAAAATACCAGAAACGCATAGAGGGGTCTTAAAAAATCCAAACAATCCCAGTAGTCTAAAAAAATATCAAAAAACGCTTCACCACCCGTAGTTTCTCGAAAAATCCGGAAATGTTCAGAAAAAGACTTGAAAGTGTCGAAGAAGTCATCAGGGTTCTACAGTTCCGTTAAGTCCAAAAATGTCCTCGAAATCATTAGAAAAACACCGGAAATGTAACAAAAAGTGCCCAGAAAATCTCCAAAACGAAACATCCACAAAAGCCCGGGAAAATTATCGCGAAGGACTGAGAAAATTTTAAACACAAAAACAAAGTGAGTGGAGAAAGCGGAAATATCTTGAAAAATATGTAAAGAAAGGTGCTAAAAGGCGAAAAATTCGGAAAAGGCCAGCATTATCTCCAAAAGAAATTTCGAGGGCAGCCGATAAATGTTTAAAAATAAAACAAAAATTATTGGAAAACTGCTAGAAAGACCGTAGAAAGATGCCAACAAGTAGCGAAGGTAACCATAATTATCTTCAACGAAGTTAATAAAAAATACGGTAGCTCCAGAAAAGTCGCTCAAAATAACCGAAAAATCTCGAAAAATTCTAAGAAATACTATATTACTTTGAAAGCAACCGAAAACAGGCATGAAAGTCTCCGAAAACTTTTCAAATCAAAACGAAAGAGACCCAGAAGATCCCGAGAAAGTGCCTCAAAACGCTGAGTTTGGTGTTAAGGCGTCAGAAAAACTCCGAAAAGCGACGAAAAATTCTAAAAAAAAATGTACAAAACACCGCTGAAAAATTCAGAAACTTTCCGAAACTTACGAAAAAAAAGTTCCGGAAATCCCAAATTGTTTTAAATAATGAAAGATAAGAGCCCAAAAATTACTTCAAAGCGTTGAGCTAATACCAAAAAGCCGCAGGCGACTGATAAAATTCCGAAAAACTTGACGAATTCCGAAAATTAAAAAAAGTACAGAAAACTGCTTAAAACTCCAGAAGTGTTCGAAAGCTCATACAAAAAAAAAAAATTAAGAAGATGAGCCAGGGTGGTGGTCTCAAACCGGTCAGCTAATACCGAAAAGCCTCAGGTGACCGATAAAATTCAGATTAATTGTGAAAATCCACGAAAAGTTCCAAAAAAAGTACAGACAACAGCTGAAAAAATCCCGATCTATCTCGAAAACTCACAAAAAAAAATGTTCAGAAAATTTACGGAAAATACCCAAAAGAGCAGATGAAATCTTTAAGAATACGGAAGGCCAGAAAAGTGCCAAAAATTCTCTAACGATTATTGCAACTTTCTAAACAAAGCCCTATAAAAAAACCGCAAAAGAGAGAACAATCACCAAAAAGGTCGCCAAATAATACAACTAATCCCGTTAGAGCCGCAAAAATTTTCGGAAAACACTGAAAATTTACATATATCAGCTCTGATCCAGTACTCCATGAACTTACAGGGTTTTATACAAATTTGCAGGAAGTTACAGGAAAAATGATCCCATACTCCAAATTCCTCCAAAATCCTGTAAATGAGAGCGATGTTTGGAGAGTTGTGTAGAGAATGAAGTTGCAAGATTTTACCCGAACTTTTTCTTCTGGTAAAATTATGAAAAGTGTCAAGCGATCACTGGTTAACGTTTTTACAGGAAAAAGCTTTTTTTGATCCCGTAATTTTTGTTGCTACTCACTTTTTACTCTCACTTCAGAGATTAATTTTGTTGTTTGAGATTTTTAGAGGATTTTACACGAAAAGTATTGGATCAGAGCTGGTTGGTTTCATGCAATAGCTCGTTTAGGTTCATGACCAGGCATGGGCAGAGACTTAGCAAGTGCTAAAAGAGCGTAAGCATTGCGTGTACATATACCAGCGAGAGCGTAACGATGAGACCGCGACAGCATGCAAAATGAATTGGATACACTAACACCTTCTCACTTTTACCTCACTCTTGTTTGTGGTAGTGCCCACCTCTGTTCCTGACGGACTAACTCAAATGAACTGATTAAATATAAACATGCCGAATTTTGGTTCTCGAAAGTTTTGAGAAATTCATGGGCGAAAAAAATAGTTTTCTAGTGGCTAGAAAGGATTGCATATTTTCGTGCGTGAAAGTTTGTTTGTGTTTTTTTCACGCACCCTTCGAATAACAAGCTATATGAATATTATGTCAACCAACTAAATTCCTCGATTTGCTTTCTACTTTGAAAGTTTTTATGAAAACTATGCAAAAACTTGCAAGTATGTGTGTTCTACAACTTTATTTCACAAATACGCATACTCACTTGAATGTATCTCTGCTGAAATTTTTGAAGATATTACACTCAGGATGCTCCAACAAGCGGAATGCTATTGAACAATGATGATTTTCCAGCGGCGAGATGTCATTATACCTGCAAGCAAAGGCGATATGCAAATTGAAAAATAATTGAAGAAACGAAGTTGTTAATGAATAGAGACAGCCGTTGACAGAGCGAGAGTACGGGAAAGTGGAATGTGTTAATGAGGCATTGCAAAGCGGGGCAAACTCATGAAGTCATTGCAGCAGCAGCAGTAGCAGCGGCAGCAGCAGCAGCCATGACGATTGTAGCCAAATAGGCAATTGAAATGCAAAAATCTCGCTAGCAATGCAAATACAAAGTATGAGTACGCATACAATGCCAAAGCTACATTTGTATGTATGTATTTGCAAATGTCAATCACTGCAATCGAGGCAATGAAATAAATGTTAATGCAATGCTGCGCCACAAGGTAGGCAATAAAAATGCTACATGCCACTACATCTAGCGCTGAATGCCATTAGATCGAGTGCTGATGAAGATGTAGATATGTATGTATGTGTGTGTGCTCGGATGTATGTATTTGCATTAGAGAAATGTGTAGGGTTTGGAGACTCACATTAGAACATAGAGTCCTACCTCTTGTGTATATGAATTAGTGTAATTGTATGACTGCATTGCTATCAGCCAACTAGATGTATGTACATACCTGAGTGCCAATTCGGTGCGCGCATTTATCTGATAGATATTATTGTAGCCTGGATGATCGAGATCATGACAAATGCAGGACACTAGCAATATTAGGCATTCTAGGTCACCTAGTCGTTGAAGCAGATTGGCATGGCGGGTTATGGCGTACATCTGGAATGGAATGGAAGAAGAATTTTTGTTTTTTAATTGGTACTAATTTTACAAATATTTAAAATAATATATATGTGGAAGGCTCGAATTTAAACCGATACACCGAGCCCTAACCGCCAAAGAGACGTAAGCGAAATTAAAAAAAAAAAAATTATTTTTGATGCAGAAATGCATTTAGATGCTCTAGGGACATTTCTGCATAAAAAAGAAAATTTTGAAAAAATGTCGCTTACGCCTTTTTGGCGGTTAAGGTGCGACATATGTACATCTACATATATTTAGAACTTAAAAAACAATATTTACAAACGAAAGCATTTAGAAATGAGAGTGAGCGAGGCAGTGACAGAGTGAGTGATTGCATGAGTAATTGATTGAGTGAACGAGTGAGTAAATGAGTTAGTAAGTATATGAGTGAGTGAGCGAGCGTATAAGTGAGTGAGAATGAATGAGTTATTTAGTGAATAAGTGATGGTTTGAGTAAATGAGTGAGTGAATACATGAGTTAGTGAGTGAGTGAGTAAGTGAGTTACTAAATGGCGGCATGAGTAAACGAGTGTGAATTAGTTTGTAAATAAGTGAGCGAGCGAATGAATTTGTGAGTGATTGACTTTGTTTGTTTCTTCTTCACACTGAACATGTTTGTACAGCTGTGGATAAAATTTGAAATGCAGTGGTCTTATGACAGGAACTAATGTAGGAAATATTTTCTTAAGAGGGTTGCCACCTCATTAAGAAATTATATTCAGTTTAATTAATAACGTAAATTTAATGTCACAATATGGATTTCAAATGAAGAGTTATACGAAGGTCTTTCTTTAAATAAATTTTAAGAACACTGCCAACTATTTTCAAAACTAGCCTCTATTTAATTAGTACGGCAAATTAAATAAATAAATATAGGTGTCAAATGAAAGGGTTAACTGGAAAATATTTTGAAAAGCGTTGCCACCTTTTTTTTTAAATCAAATGAAAAAATTTAAGAAAATTAATGAAATATTATATTTATATATGAAAACATTTTTTAAGGGCATAGCCATCTGTTTCAAAAATCAAATGCAATTTTATTATTAAGTTAACTTAAATGCTACATACGAGTATGAAACGAAAAGGGGTTGAGAAATCTTTCGTCACGATTTAAATGGAAGCCAGGCATACAATAGCGTCCTGAAGGATTGAAAAATTCCTTTTTTTTCTGATTCGACTATTTTAAATAATAAAGAAAAAATAAAAGTATAATAAATGTGACTAAAAAATTTAAAGTAAAAAATAAATCGAAATAATAAAAACAAACAAAAGTTTTAGTGAAAACTGAAATTTAATTTATCAACGAAATTAAAATTGCTTTAAGCTTAAATAAAAAAATGTAGATACGAATTAATAAAAAATCTCAAGTGAAAAATTTAAACTGAATTTGTCAACGAAATTAAATTAAAAAAATTTAATTTTTTTGCCTGTTTTGATAGCATCAAAAAAATTATAAAATATTTTTGTTTTTTAGATTTTATTCATTTTAAAAAAATTTGGAAAGGATATTGGATAATTAAAAAATTTTTACAATACCCAAATTCGGACTTCACTTAGCACCGTCGTTGGCTGGGGAGGAAAAATAGTTCTCTGAAGCAATTGAGAATATGTATTTCTGCACTCAGGAAAACTAACTTTAGAAGAAAACCAAGTAACTTTCAACGAAGACTATTTGTATAGTAATCTTTTTCAACGCCTAACTCATTCAAAAATACTTCAAAAATTAAATTAATTCCTGGCCTTGAGCGAAGGAAAGGATGTACTCGCGTATAAAAACAAAAAAAAAAAACTATTTGAAACATTTGGAACTTCAATAACCACTGGCTCTCCACACAAATCTTCTTCAGCCAAGCCAATGCCAGCAATCTAAATGCAAATTTAGTTAAACTTTATGTAAACACAACTTAAATGACCTATTTTACATGTGTGAGCAACTAAAGACTTGCGTACATACTCAGACGTAGATATGTATGTATGCATTTGTAAGTAGAAATTTCTCTATTCCTGTGCTTAAGTAAATTGATATGCTTATGTGTGTGTGTGCGTCGAAAAAGTTGTTTGAATATTGAATAGTTTAGGCAAACAAACTTTGATCACACACAAGATGCGGCTGTTCAAAACTTGAGTGCTGTCAATTGGCAAGAGTTTATCTGCATTGCACAAATACTTACGTGCATACATAGCATTAATCAGCATCCCTGCTGGAAAATTAATTTCTTCTTTTACACGAGAGTTATAAAATTTATTGTATTCTAAAACTTCCGCCGAAATATTTCAAAAAATTTTTAGATTTAAGTGAGCTGGACCGATTTGAAAATAGCAGCAAAAATCTCATGGTTTTGATTCCGCTGATAACAGTTTTAAACATTGGTTGGCAGAACTCTTAAGCCTAAACTTTTTTATCACTTGCGGTGATTTAAAAAAAGTGTGTTTTTAAAACAATTTTTATTTATGTAAAACTAAATTTTTGTAAATCTTAAATCTGACATATTTTGGTGGAAGTCTTAAAATATAATAAATTTTATAATTCCGATGCAAAAGCCGTACTGAGTCGATGTATTCATCGAAGGAAATTAAGAAAGAAGCGAAATTTATCAACAAAGAAAAAGGTGCGTGTACAATTTTCGCGGTCAACTATGTTTGGGCAATGATCATGAAGGGTTAGTCCTTGGCCAGGTATAAATCTATGTTAACGCGTCTTTCTTCGCCGTGAACAAGGTTTACGCGCCTTTCTTCGCCGAAGTTTTTCTAAGCGTCTTTTGTGTAAATCTTGTTTTCTTGCGTCCTTTATCGCCGCCAAAACACTCGCGCATCTTTTTTCGTGTCTAGTGACGATATGCCTGGAAACGTATGTGCCAATATTTGTAGCAGAAACCGAAAATAACAGTCATTAATGAAAAACTGTCATTGAAAAATTCACTATGAAAGTTTCACTATGAGAGAGGGAGAGAGAGAGACAACAACAATAAGTGATATATACCAATCGATTTCTTTTTTCAACGAGTATCAAATTTCAAAATAAATTTTTATTTATAGTTATATGAAAAATTAAAAAAAATAACAATTATTTTAGATTTTTATTTTAATCCAAAATAACAATTATTTTTACTTTTTATCCAAATAATATGTAAATAAGAGTAATTTTTGATTTTATATTATATGTCTTAGATAACAGTTATTCAAGACTTTTATTTATAAAAATCATTAATAAATATCGGTTACTGTCTTTTATTTTTTAAGTCATGATAGCTTTTATAAATAAAAGTCTTCAATAACTGTTATCTAAGATATATAATTTAAAAATCAAAAATAACTGTTATTTGCAGATTATTTAGGTAAAAATCAAAAATAATTGTTATTTTGGATTTATAAAATAGAAACCAGAAAAACTGTTATTTAAGGAATAATTAAATAAAAGTCAAAAATTAATTGTTAAAAAGCGATTTTTTTTAAATAAAGTTGTAACTGTTACGCTCCTTGATTTTTAGATATTTCGCTAACCATTAGTCGAATCTGGGTGCCACCAAGTGGTGATACATCCTACGAATTGCTCGGATAAGCCAACCGCCTCAAATTTTTACTAAATCTAATTTACTCTAACTTTTCGGCTCGTATTTCATATGGCCCTTTGAAGCTTATAATACTAGTCGTTAGCCGAAAATTACCACAACTGCGACTTCACGCGTCGCACGCTATTTATTCCTTTTTCCTCTATTTTTGGATACCTCATGAGCAGCCCCACAAGAAAAAGTTTCGTTTATACGAAAGTCATTTTAAAGCTATATTTTAAAGCTTCCCTATGTCATCAGCCTAAGCTCGTTATAAAGCTTTATATACGCATCGTTTTTAGCGTTTATTCTGTCATCAACTTCGCAGGTAAGAGAAAAAAATCTGAATTCGGTCTCTGATAGCTGCATTTCCTACAGGGGCTCATTAAATAAATATATCTTGGCTTTGTTATCACAACGTATGTATATTTCAGATCGACTGCATTCTCGCGCTGACTACGGTTGTCGCACACTATGAGTGCTATTTAAATAGTTTTTCTACTGGTTAAAGGAAACATTTTGGTAGCACTAACGAAGTACGAACTTTTGAAACTTTTTATTTGTAACACGCAATGCATTCTACCCAATTCCATTTAGTCGCTTGTAAAGGCGTCTGACAAAGAACTTAGTTTTAAATGTAGCCGAAGCTTTGCTCGTGGGCAATGCAATTTAAGTTGTATTAGTTCTGTATTTGAAAAAAAGTGTTGTCGGAAAATATTGCTAAAATTTCAACTCGACTAATCATTGACCTTTCACATGGAGATAACAGAGACGACGTAGTGAAAGTACAAAGCGCGCCAAAATACGCAAACTGAAAACCTCGACTATTTCCAACTTCCCTTTTTATGCCCACAGTTTAATCTCAAACATCCAATTAGCGGTGTGGCTTACACCAACTTTCGCTAGCAAAAAACTAAAAATGTGTAGTTGTGTAAACAAGATTGTTATTAAAAAAAAAAAACTAACCATACCAAATTTTTTTCATACAAAAACGACCGCTTACTACAGACTAACTTCTTCGCAGTTGCTGGTCAATAACATGTCTGTGTATGTTAGTTCGTTTTATCAACCTTGTCGCCAATATTGCTGCAACATGTTGCGGTTGTGGTCACTTGCACGTCAAAATGTTCATTAACTTTATGGCGCCGGCTAAAAGCCAGTCAAAGCTGCCCATATTTTCATTGACACTTCCGAAAGTGAAACTTTTATGGTGTTTGCAAATTTTTTTATAAATGTTGTAGTAATGAATGACTAGTTTTTATGATTTTCTTATTGTTGAAGTTGCTGAAGTTTTCTTAGGTAGTTTGGCACTCAACTATACTTGTATATTAACATTATCATTTTGAAAGATAAACCACACCAAGGCGGCATTTTATAGTAAAAAACCAAGATCGTTTAAATAAAAAAAACAATTATTTTACTATTTGG